TTCAAGTCAATTCAAATGTGTTTATTAAGCCATCAGATTGGGTAAAAAGAAATGGGATGTTTCAGATGTGAGACGACACAGACTCAGAGGTTTGACCGACTGATTGATGTTTTATATTGCTTCACATTATGTTGTGTTTTTTTATGTGGTCCTGCAGTCCTGTCCACAGCTCTGGACCTGGTGGACCTCAGTGAGCCGGGGGAGAGCAGCGGGGGCAGTGATGGAGGAGGAGGAGGAGGAGGAGGGGTCTGTAAAAAGGAGCCGAGGAGGAGTCCTCTGAGGAGGAAGGGCAGCTCCAAGAGCCCCCGACGACGCACCAAACCTGACGAGACAGAGCTGATCCAGGTGGAGGTGGAACACCTGCCGGCCAGTCCCAGGACACCTGAGAGGATCTCCCTGGACTCAGGTACAGGAGCTGTAAAACACACAAATCCCAACGTTGCCGATGTTTTTATACAATTTAGACAATTTGCAAGAATCTTTCTGCAGCGTTTATTAATCAAAAATAAATCATGTAATCCGTGTAGGACTTCCATTTTTGTTGCCATGGTATCAAGCACAAACACTTTTTAAAATTCTGGTCTTGACTATGGTCCCTTCCAACATTTGGCTAGTCTTACTTGAGGAGGGGAGAGCAGTTCTTGCAAGTTCATCGCCTGCTCAGATACGTTTATAAAAAAGTCCTCAGCTGTCTCCTGGATGTTTTGACCAACATCATCATCACAGTCAGAGACTCCGCCTCCGCTTCAGCTGCACTTTATTTTAGATTCATGTCGTCGCTCATTTGGTTAAAAGCTTTGAACTCAGTCAGTCGTGAGTAAAAATAAGTGATTTTTAATCTGAGCTTTTACTGTGATGAGAGTTTAACTTCCTGTTTCACCTCAGTGTCCTCCAAACACACACACACACACACACACACACACACACACACACACACACACACACATTCAGGCACACAGCTGAATCTGTGAAACCTGACAATTCACAGCAAGTTAGCATCAGTTAGCCTCCGATCCGTTCTTCAGTGACATGGTGTTGTCGTTGTGTGTTTGCAGTCAGTCTGTCGTCTCCACTAGACAAATGGGACGATGTGAACCTGGACATGGAGGACGGAGGACGCAGGAGGTACGAGAAGAGATGCACCTCCCACCACTCCTCCAGCGAACTGCTGTGGTAAATATCAGCTTCAGACTGAGCGTGAACAGAGGATCAGTAAGGGCGAAAACTGCTACTGTAACGTTCAGTACAAGACGCATATTTAACTAATAACTGAAGGCTCTACCTCCCATAGTACATTTAGAGACCATAGGTACCACGAGCAGGCCTGATAACTGAAGGCTCTACCTCCTATAGTACATTTAGAGACTGTACCACGAGCAGGCCTGATAACTGAAGGCTCTACCTCCCATAGTACATTTAGAGACTGTAGGTACCACGAGCAGGCCTGATAACTGAAGGCTCTACCTCCCATAGTACATTTAGAGACTGTAGGTACCACGAGCAGGCCTGATAACTGAAGGCTCTACCTCCCATAGTACATTTAGAGACTGTACCACGAGCAGGCATGATAACTGAAGGCTCTACCTCCCATAGTACATTTAGAGACCGTAGGTACCACGAGCAGGCCTGATAACTGAAGGCTCTACCTCCCATAGTACATTTAGAGACTGTAGGTACCACGAGCAGGCCTGCTAACTGAAGGCTCTACCTCCCATAGTACATTTAGAGACTGTAGGTACCACGAGCAGGCCTGATAACTGAAGGCTCTACCTCCCATAGTACATTTAGAGACTGTACCACGAGCAGGCCTGATAACTGAAGGCTCTACCTCCCATAGTACATTTAGAGACCGTAGGTACCACGAGCAGGCCTGATAACTGAAGGCTCTACCTCCCATAGTACATTTAGAGACTGTAGGTACCACGAGCAGGCCTGATAACTGAAGGCTTACCTCCCATAGTACATTTAGAGACTGTACCACGAGCAGGCCTGATAACTGAAGGCTCTACTCCCATAGTACATTTAGAGACTGTACCACGAGCAGGCCTGATAACTGAAGGCTCTACCTCCCATAGTACATTTAGAGACGTACCACGAGCAGGTCCTGATAACTGAAGGCTCTACCTCCCATAGTACATTTAGAGACTGTAGGTACCAAGAGCAGACCTGATAACTGAAGGCTCTACCTCCCATAGTACATTTAGAGACTGTAGGTACCACGAGCAGGCCTGATAACTGAAGGCTCTACCTCCCATAGTACATTTAGAGACCGTAGGTACCACGAGCAGGTCTGATAACTGAAGGCTCTACCTCCCATAGTACATTTAGAGACCGTAGGTACCACGAGCAGGCCTGATAACTGAAGGCTCTACCTCCCATAGTACATTTAGAGACTGTACCACGAGCAGGTCTGATAACTGAAGGCTCTACCTCCCATGGTACATTTAGAGACCGTAGGTACCACGAGCAGGCCTGATAACTGAAGGCTCTACCTCCCATAGTACATTTAGAGACCATAGGTACCACGAGCAGGCCTGATAACTGAAGGCTCTACCTCCCATAGTACATTTAGAGACTGTACCACGAGCAGGCCTGCTAACTGAAGGCTCTACCTCCCATAGTACATTTAGAGACTGTAGGTACCACGAGCAGGCCTGATAACTGAAGGCTCTACCTCCCATAGTACATTTAGAGACTGTAGGTACCACGAGCAGGCCTGCTAACTGAAGGCTCTACCTCCCATAGTACATTTAGAGACTGTAGGTACCACGAGCAGGCCTGATAACTGAAGGCTCTACCTCCCATAGTACATTTAGAGACTGTACCACGAGCAGGCCTGATAACTGAAGGCTCTACCTCCCATAGTACATTTAGAGACCGTAGGTACCACGAGCAGGCCTGATAACAGAAGGCTCTACCTCCCATAGTACATTTAGAGACCGTAGGTACCACGAGCAGGTCTGATAACTGAAGGCTCTACCTCCCATAGTACATTTAGAGACTGTACCACGAGCAGGTCTGATAACTGAAGGCTCTACCTCCCATGGTACATTTAGAGACCGTAGGTACCACGAGCAGGCCTGATAACTAAAGGCTCTACCTCCCATAGTACATTTAGAGACCGTAGGTACCACGAGCAGGCCTGATAACTGAAGGCTCTACCTCCCATAGTACATTTAGAGACCGTACCACGAGCAGGTCTGATAACTGAAGGCTCTACCTCCCATAGTACATTTAGAGACCGTACCACGAGCAGGCCTGATAACTGAAGGCTCTACCTCCCATAGTACATTTAGAGACTGTACAACGAGCAGGCCTGATAACTGAAGGCTCTACCTCCCATAGTACATTTAGAGACTGTAGGTACCACGAGCAGACCTGATAACTGAAGGCTCTACCTCCCATAGTACATTTAGAGACTGTAGGTACACAGCAGGCCTGATAACTGAAGGCTCTACCTCCCATAGTACATTTAGAGACTGTAGGTACCACGAGCAGGCCTGATAACTGAAGGCTCTACCTCCCATAGTACATTTAGAGACTGTACCACGAGCAGGCCTGATAACTGAAGGCTCTACCTCCCATAGTACATTTAGAGACTGTAGGTACCACGAGCAGGCCTGATAACTGAAGGCTCTACCTCCCATAGTACATTTAGAGACTGTACCACGAGCAGGCCTGATAACTGAAGGCTCTACCTCCCATAGTACATTTAGAGACTGTACCACGAGCAGGCCTGATAACTGAAGGCTCTACCTCCCATAGTACATTTAGAGACCGTAGGTACACGAGCAGGCCTGATAACTGAAGGCTCTACCTCCCATAGTACATTTAGAGACTGTACCACGAGCAGGCCTGATAACTGAAGGCTCTACCTCCCATAGTATATTTAGAGACTGTACCACGAGCAGGCCTGATAATTGAAGGCTCTACCTCCAATAGTACATTTAGAGACCGTAGGTAGCACGAGCAGGCCTGATAACTGAAGGCTCTACCTCCCATAGTACATTTAGAGACTGTACCACGAGCAGGCCTGATAACTGAAGGCTCTACCTCCCATAGTACATTTAGAGACCGTAGGTACCACGAGCAGGCCTGATAACTGAAGGCTCTACCTCCCATAGTACATTTAGAGACTGTACCACGAGCAGGCCTGATAACTGAAGGCTCTACCTCCCATAGTACATTTAGAGACTGTAGGTACCACGAGCAGGTCTGATAACTGAAGGCTCTACCTCCCATAGTACATTTAGAGACTGTACCACGAGCAGGCCTGATAACTGAAGGCTCTACCTCCCATAGTACATTTAGAGACTGTACCACGAGCAGGCCTGATAACTGAAGGCTCTACCTCCCATAGTACATTTAGAGACTGTACCACGAGCAGGCCTGATAACTGAAGGCTCTACCTCCCATAGTACATTTAGAGACTGTACCACGAGCAGGCCTGATAACTAAAGACCATCACCTCTTCAAGCGGGTTCGGGCTCTGTACCTGAGTCCAGTACGTTTGTGTTCACATTGATCAAATGAACTGGACTTCAGGGACAAGCGTAGTTGGATCCGGGTCCCTAATTTAATATCACCCTGACACCATGTTTGTATTTTGTTCCTTCAGGTCTGCAGACTTTAAAACTGACCCTCTGAATAAGAACTCCTTCGACATCCACAGCTTCGATGACCTCGACTTCATTTCCTCTTCACAGGTAAGCTGATCAAACTTAATACTGCAGGAGTGTAGTCACCGTCCTGATTTTTAAGTTTCTTGTTTTGATATCGCACCGAAACTTGCCCACGTTTTTGTGCAATTGAGACGGGGTGCAGGAGTTTGTGCCTAGATTTTTTATTTTCTCTCTATCATTAAAATAACAGATTTTATTGTTTAAAAGACGTGGGATCAAAAAAGTATTTAAGAGTTTGACAACCTTAGGGTGGTGTCTACATGGAGATCTCAGTTGCTTCCGATGTGAAGAGAGCGTTCACAGCCGCTAAGATTAGGCCACGCCTCCTCCATACTGAAGCCCCCGCTCTCCTCCAGGGACAACCCTCCAACTCCCCTCTACACTGAGTTCGCACGACAGTTAAGCGCAAGCGGCGGACAAAATTGTCCTTTGCTGGAGCTGCAGTCACCTGTGTGCTGCATTGTTGTGTTAGCATGCTAATGTTAGCTACGTTAGCTCGTAGCTTCATATTTTCATGTAAAAAAAAAATTCTCAGAACACAACACTTCATCCAAGGACAGCAGAGCGCACAGCCAGCACTTTTCTCCCCCATATAAACACACCTTGTGCTGCAGAGCATCATGTATTCAAGCCCCTAGAATCAAACCCACCAAACACAGCGTGTAGTTCAGGGAGCGTGGGACAAAGGAAGGTTTCCTCAGAGGTCACTTCAGCTGTTTTAATGTCTCTTTAAATTAAACTTTGACTCTGTTCTTTGTTGGAGTCTGTTAGTTTGTCTTTTCTGTCACACCGACAGCTGCTGCCTGACCTTCGTGTGTGTGTGTGTGTGTGTGTGTGTGTGTGTGTGTGTGTGTGTGTGTGTGTGTGTGTGTGTGTGTGTGTGTGTGTGTGTGTGTGTGTGTGTGTGTGTGTGTGTGTGTGTGTGTGCTTTCAGGACTGTGGGGTGTCCAGGCAGCGCAGACGGACTCGCTCCCTGCTGGCCAGAAAGGAGTCTCTGGAGGACGAGTTTGTCAGAGCCAAGGCAGCTGTAGAGGTACACACACACACACACACACACACACACACACACACACACACACACACACACCCTGTGACTAAGGTCCTCTGTACAGAAATGTCCTGACTTTACAGGAAACAAAAAAACAAAAGTCTAAAGTCCTTATTTCAAGTCTTGTCCTTTGTCAGACCTCTGGGTGTGTGTGTGTGTGTCAGTCTTTATTTCTCCCCTCATCATGATGCTTTCTCATATCGTACAAACATTAGAGTTTGTGTTTGTGGATGAACGTCAGTGAACATAACTTCTTTTCAGCCGTTATCCGCTCAGAGAGGAAACACTGCAGGGAGAGAAATGCTGCTCACTGATTGGTCGCATCGAGTTCAAACCTCATTTCTGACACTTTGTTTAGGCCAGTCTGGACGTTACGCTCTACTGGTTAAGATGAACTGTACGTCTTTACCCCAGAGCTTAAGACACAGCTGCTGAAACAGGAAGCTGGGTTATTTTCAGCTTCCTGTCTATAAAAGAGCAGAACATCCTCGTCCTGTAAATGTACTCTACGTGCGGTCTGAGGTTTAATGTTTCAGAGATCAGCTGATGTCGAGAAACTGATCCGTGCAGGACGAGGCTGACCTGACACCCTCTCTGTACTTCCTGTCATGTGAGACTCTGATTCTGCACGCGCTCAGATTGATGAGTGCTGCACCCCGATCAGCCTCCATCAGGATCCACCAGCGCCTCAGGATCAGTTCTTTTTCAGAGGGTCAAGGTGCTTTTGGTACCAAAATGTTCCCATTGTACAAATTAGACCGTGTGCTGGAATTTGTCTGTATGCAATATTTTGTTATTAGAATTTCTATTTTTGCTGCTGTGGTATCAAACAGGTATTGATTAATTTTATTCGAATCATTTTGAATTCAGGTTGGTCTCAGGGTGGTTCAGGTTGGTCTCAGGGTGGTTCAGGTTGGTCTCATGGTGGTTCAGGTTGGTCTCATGGTGGTTCAGGTTGGTCTCAGGGTGGTTCAGGTTGGTCTCATGGTGGTTCAGGTTGGTCTGAGGTGGTTCAGGTTGGTCTCATGGTGGTTCAGGTTGGTCTCAGGATGGTTCAGGTTGGTCTGAGGGTGGTTCAGGTTGGTCTCATGGTGGTTCAGGTTGGTCTCAGGGTGGTTCAGGTTGGTCTGAGGGTGGTTCAGGTTGGGCTCATGGTGGTTCAGGTTGGGCTCATGGTGGTTCATGTTGGTCTGAGGGTGGTTCAGGTTGGTCTCATGGTGGTTCTGGTTGGTCTGAGGGTGGTTCAGGTTGGTCTCATGGTGGTTCAGGTTGGTCTCATGGTGGTTCAGGTTGGTCTCATGGTGGTTCAGGTTAGTCTGAGGGTGGTTCAGGTGGTCTCATGGTGGTTCAGGTTGGTCTCATGGTGGTTCAGGTTGGTCTCAGGGTGGTTCAGGTTGGTCTCATGGTGGTTCAGGTTGGTCTCAGGGTGGTTCAGGTTGGTCTCATGGTGGTTCAGGTGGTCTCAGGATGGTTCAGGTTGGTCTGAGGGTGGTTCAGGTTGGTCTCATGGTGGTTCAGGTTGGTCTGAGGGTGGTTCAGGTTGGTCTGAGGGTGGTTCAGGTTGGGCTCATGGTGGTTCAGGTTGGGCTCATGGTGGTTCATGTTGGTCTGAGGGTGGTTCAGGTTGGTCTCATGGTGGTTCAGGTTGGTCTGAGGGTGGTTCAGGTTGGTCTCATGGTGGTTCAGGTTGGTCTCATGGTGGTTCAGGTTGGTCTCATGGTGGTTCAGGTTGGTCTGAGGGTGGTTCAGGTTGGTCTCATGGTGGTTCAG